AAAGACCGCTGGCGGATGAGTGTTCCCCAAGTCACGCGCTGCTACGTCGGTCATCGAGAACGGAGATGCATGGAGACGTCTGCGATCGTTCAGGCACTGTCGTTGAAGAGACGGCAACGCCAGCGATGGAGAGGGCGCAAGGTAGGTTGCGGTCACCGCCGACATGTCCTTGCGGAGAATGGTTTCAGGTACTAGCTGGCAGGAGGAAACAGGTGTGGAGGAGCTAGTCCGTCGACGGGGACGCTTTCCACCGGTGAGCGGCGGTGGAAATATATGCGCTTGGGCGTTCATCGTCACGATGATGTCCCCCAAGTTCCCCAACCCTCTCAAATGTCACTTCAGGAGGAATAGCTTCCACATAAGATCTAAGCCTCGTTCGAGAGGGGCGTCACTAGGTTAGACTATTTCCTGTACGTCGGCTCCGATGAGCAAAACCTCTCCTGGGTGCTTCACTGAGCTGAGAGCTCCATTCTTTCTGCTATCGAGGGAAGTCGGTTCTAGGAAAAGCGTAGATCAGAGATCTTACCTTTCGAGAGATGGCCTCAGTTTTGCAACAGTAGTGTAATGGATCTTTGCATAGATCTTTCATAGCGTAGATCGTTGAAAAGTGTGGGTCATTACATCTGTGTGTGAGTAGAGCTGGAGGGACCTGACTTCTGTCGGAGTGCTACGACATTGGGTCTCTTCAAGAAGGCGGTAGCGGCTGGTCAGTAGGGTCGCCGACGACCTTAAGGGATGCAGCCTTGTTGCTCTCCGACTATTTAACCATGTCCATCCGGAACAGATGAAAATAGCCAATCAAATTTTGCTACGGAAGTTTCCATGTGTTATAACAAGGACGCCAGCTCGTCCGTCGAACGTTGTGATTCCACTCTCTCTTTTTCTCTTTGTGTGTCTTTGTGTCTCTGTCTGTCTCCGTCCCTCTCTCTTTCTCTGTCTGCCTGTCTGCCTCTCTCTCTCTCTCTCTCTCTCTCTCTCTCTCTCTCTCTCTCTCTCTCTCTCTCTGTGTGTGTGTGTGTGTGTGTGTGCACGTTTCCCAACCTGTCATTGCCACACCTGGCCTCTCTTTTCTCCGTACTCCCACTGCTCGCTTGTCCTTTTCCGTTCTCCTTGTTTGTTCCTTCGCCTTGTGTATTCCTCACTTCTACGTCTATGTATTGCTGGTTTACTATTAGTTATTTAAGATTTGCTGTTCTCCTGGCGATGTTGCCGAGGAATGAGAAGGGTATTGTGCAAAGACTCTCATTGGATCTGAACAGCTCGAGCTCGTGCCTTCAAATGGTCACTGAGGATGCGTAGCAGTGAGGTTTCCATGCATTATGGGTGATCTAGATGTTCTCATCGATTGTGAGTATTATGATGAAACTGTCGAAGTCTGGCGTGCTTTTTCCTGCGTTGGACACAACGTAATAGCAACGGTTTCTTGGACCCCGGTTCCTGCTGGCGTCACTACCGTCTTCACCCGAATAGAACGCCCGCTGGTGATTACAGCTGTATTTGGTGCAACTTTTTTTTTTTTTTTTTTTTCAAAGGGCGATGGCGTTGAGGTATTATCATCGGACTAACCAGCCCAGGTAAATTCAATCTTGTGGGGGATCCCTGAAGGCTATCAGGCCACCCTGGGCTAAACTTTGGGCGCCCAAAACCGAAAAGGTTTTGGCGTGGGCGCCTTCTACCCATTATCCCCTGAAAAGGCCACCGTTGTCAGATTTGGTGCAACTTTCAGTCCAGGTACGGCAATAATTCCTGGGCCTTCTATTCGGGCGAAGACTGTAGCCCGCCCGGCCATGGAGCGAGTGACAAAAGCGACGTCAATTTTTTTTTTTTTTTTTTTTTTTCGACGTCAATTTTCGCTTTCGGGCCCTCCACACCATTTTGGGGGGGAACGTACAACAACTTGAAGTTCTCGGGAATAAGAAGATTGGATTCTACCTGCGTGATCTGAACAAGGCCAGGTCCAGGTACTTCGTCAGATGTGCGTATTTCTTACATAGCGCACAGTCGTGTTCCCACGTATGATCCTATCGAGACTTGTCATTCCTCCATACGCAAGCCTCTAGCGATTTTTTTTTTTATTTTTTTTTTTTTTTTTTCGCCTCTAGCGAAAATTGAACGGTCGAACTTGGGAAAAGTTATAATGTAAACCTCCCTGCCACGAAAGGTTTTTATTCATGCCCCTCCCCACCCCCCTCCCCCCAACCCAACTGGGCAAAAAGTGTCGTAGGGCCTGAATACAGAGGTGTCGTCGCGGGGGTAGGTCTTATAACTTTTCTTCTCGAATTTTCGGACTGCTAAATTAATAAATTAATGGTGAAAGGGTTAGGATGCTTTCTATTTATAGTTTGCACCAGACGTGGCTGGTCTGCATGTCATGCACTGCTTCTCCCGCAACGGCTGCATTTAACGATTGAATCACGTTGAATGTCATCTGAAACTCGGTTTTTCTTTTTTTCTTTTTTTTTTTTGGTGAGAAATCTGGAAACTCGTTTTTTTTTCTTCATAAAAGGGCAACGGCCTTGAGTCTTGAGATGTTAACTTCGAACTGGCGGGCCCAGCGTCATGCTCCCCGTGGGGCCATGAGAAACCGCGCGGTAAATGCAGAGTTGTTCTCACTGATTCGGACCAGGGGCAAGGTCCCACTTGCACGGTCCCATTAAGAGATTCTGGCCGTTGATCTTTGCTATCTACGGTCAATTTCGCTTAATTAATTCGAGTAAGTGGGGCCAAGCCCCAGACGTGGCTGGTCTTCGTGCACTGCTTTTCCCGGTTAATTAAGAAAACACTACGCAACAGCTGCATGACGATTGATGAATGAAGTTGAAAATCATCAGAATTTTTTTCATGTTCATGTTTTTCTTCCAAAGGGCGACCGCTTTGAGATATCCTCTTTGGACTGGCCGGCCCCACGTAAATTCACAGTTGTTTTCACTTAATTGATTCCACCTCTTTGAGCTGGCCGGCCCCACGTAAGTTCACAGTTGTTTTCACTTCATTGATTCCACCTCTTTGAAGTTTGAGCTGGCCGGCCCCACGTAAATTCAGAGTTGTTTTCACTTAATTGATTCCACCTCTTTGAGCTGSCCGGCCSCACGYAAATTCAGAGTTGTTTTCACTTCATTGTATTCCATAATTTCCGTTGGAAAGTTCGAACCCAGGTCTCTGTTTCAGAAGTTCACGGTTGTACCAACTGAGCTACCGATAGGCCAACCAGGTCCGTATTTGGGAAGTTCAGAATGGCACCAACTGAGGGCACGCTCACACTGTGCAGTGTGTACCCAAAATCGTCTTTTCGTGAAACAAATGGGATATGCCCCATTAGGGAAAATAGAGGCTGGACCCTTCACACTGCTTCCCCATTTCGCAACGGACAAGGTTGCGACCGCCTGGATTTTTTGGGTCCTCGTCGACGCCTCTAGTCACACTGCGAGATCGCATTTCCTGGCACTGGCAATGGGCCTCGCTGCACTACTCTTGAAATGCACAAAAGACAAAAATCATGGCCGTGTATCTTTCCATATTCTAGCGGAAGATTCACTCTCGTTTTGCACATTTCGAGAGCAGTGCAGCGAGGCCTAATATCTTCGTCTTCGAATTTCTTTCCATTCCCATTTCCGCAGGTTGATTCCAGACGAGAAAGGGAATTAGCCGTAAATTCCCAACCCCCGCGGCCCCTCAGGCCGCTGATAAATGGGGTCACGAATAATAAGTAGATTGGGGAAATGAGATGCTGGTGTGACTATCCCTCGACCCTATTTTTTCGGGATTTTGGGTATTATGCGGATTTGGTACCGCGTTGTGATCGTGCGCTGAGCTAGTTGGTATCATCCAAATTTCCTCGACCAGTTTGACGAAGCCATGCATGCAGGATAGACGTAACGACCGAATCGGTCCATCTAGTTTGGAAATCCAGATCCTGTTATGTAAAGGCTCGCTTCTGGGCGTTAATAAACGGGCTGACTATCAACAGTCATCTGTTTGCAAACAGCCGAAGTGTATTTACTCTCATAAGGCCGTCAGTGATTATCTTGGTTCAGAAATCGTTGAGTCAGACCTGTTCATTAACACCAACAGGTGAGCCACTGCCACTGGGATAGAACTCGTGACCCGCTTATGAACATGTTCATGTGTGGGTGTAAATTAATTAAACCACCAGAACCCCAGGGGGTCTTATGCCCCCTCCGATGCAAATGCATATGGACCCACGTGGCGTACCGATTTAGCCTCGGCGTTAATGCGTAAATAGGTTCCCCAGGGAGTCTTAGGTCCCCTCTGACGGAAACGCATATGGACCCTCGCGGCGCACCTATTCAGCCTCAGCGTTAACGCCTAAAAAGGGGGTAGGTACTGGTGGTATAACAGGCTGTTTTGTCAACAGTTACCTGGGGATACCGTTTAGGAGCCTAATTTTTTTCAGGAGCTGTGGAGCGAGAGCTAGATGGGTGGCCCGGCCGGACTTGAACACACGAACTGCTCATGGACAGTGGCATGGGTGTACCATGTTGGATTTGAACACAAGACCTGTTTATCGGCAGTGACATTGCCTTATCACTTGCGACCTTTCTTTTTCCCACTTTTTGCTCTCGCTTTGAAGAGGGATCGCCTTGGGGTTCGGAGGTATGGGCCTCGCCACACCACTGTCGAATCGGAAAAAGTACAAGTAGCCTGCGGGCTTAGCTCAGTTGGTAAGGCACAGAAGTTGCATTCAGGAGGTCGTGGGTTCAATCCCCATTGTCCTCACGTACGTGCCTGGGCAAGCTTGGTGTTCTACCAGCTAGAGATAACCCCTTGGCTCTCCAAGCCAGCATTGGCAGGACCTTGGCCAAATATTGTTGGCTGCTATGCAGCAATGATATTCGCCATTAGACACCGCTAATGTGGGGTTGGAGGGGGGTAGGGGGAGGTGCAAGTGACTGGCCAAAGATGTTCGGCACAAGCATCGCCGGTTTCCCCATTCGGCAATGCCTGATTACCCTGCATCATCGTGATGAGGGGCTGATACAAGCCTTGCTCTCGCACCACTGCTGTGGTGCAAACCTACCCCGTGGGCTGGGGAGAGTTCCCCCCGTACTATACATAGAGTAGCGAGAGGATGAGATAGAATATATGCAAGCGAAGATTGAGAGAAGAATATAGATTACTTTGAAAAAAAGGAAAAAGTACAAGTGCATGTTCGCGCGGCGGGTGACCAGATGCATCCCTTACTATAAATAGCCACGGACGCATCTTGCCACTTTCTGAGGAAGGTGCACTCGTACTTTTTCCATTTTGACAGTGGTGTGGGTAGGCCCCGTGTTTAGGGCCTCGTTCGACTACTCACCATCAGCTGGATACAGTGGAGAGACTTGGCGAGGCCTAAAAGTCCATTTTTCTGGCGGAAAACGGCCCTTGGTTCCATCACCGCACGCTGTGGTTGCTGTCCTGTGACGAACTACTTCCCGAACCCGTGCTACCTTTCGTACCCCTTTGGTTTGAATTTTTCTTGTATCATACCGACCCTACAAGCACCCCGTTTTGTTTTCTTGATTTCGGGCGCCGCGTTTTCGGCCCCCATCTTCCGGAAGCTTTTGTGATTCTTCGGTTCTGCTTTTTCTTTTGCAATTCGGGAAATACATAGGAATCTACGCGTGCCTTAGCAAGCGTACTGGGAATTGGGCCCCACAGTTGAGAATTCCGGGAAAAGCGGAACTTCGACGTGTCCTTTTTGTGTGTGAATGTTCTCGGTCGCGTTGGGGAAAACTCTCGGAATTTTGTGAGGATACGAATAGGCATAGGACTTTCTTTTCCCTCGTCGTCCTTTTCGCGCGCGGATATGGTGATTTCAATTTTGAATTGGTTCAGGACATAGGCAAGATGTAACTGTTTCGGTGCCTTTTTCTTTTCTTTTTGTTGACGGTGCCACGCATGCGAAGCTTTCTTCTCCCCCCCCCCGCTCTGTTGCCCGCATCGTTCTCTCCCGCACTCTTTCCCCCTTCCTTCTTCTCATCCTCCCTTCTCGCAACTGTTTTCCCTCTCTCTCTCCCGCTCTAATAGGTTGCGCGCCCATTTCCCTTTCTTGATCATCTAAATCTTGGACCCGTCTTGCGCTACTTCTCGCGCCCTTTTTTCTTTCGCCTTCCGAACGCGACTCGGAAGCCCGGTCGATCTTTCGATTACTCTCGCCCACCAATCAGATGTGTGGTACGATAGGATCTGCCTATTGCGCGACGAATCTGATTGGCGAAGCTCAGAGTCCCCGAGGATCAACATGGCTTCCGTAGCACGCTCCTCGCCAAGTCTTCTCCTCTTGCTTCTTTTCTTACACTTCGATTTTCCCCCTGCTTTCTCTCTCCCTTGCCCCCCTTCTCG